TTTAATTACATTTCATCATTTTTTGATTACTTTTCATCATTTTTGATTATATTTCATCATTTTTACTTTTCATCATTTTTTTAATTACTTTTCATCATTTTTTAATTACTTTTTATCATTTTCTGATTACTTTTTATCATTTCTGATTACTTTTCATCATTTTTAATTACTTTTTATCATTTTTGATTATTTTTTATTATTTTTGATTACTTTTTATTATTTGTTTTATTCTTTTATTAAATTAATTTATTTTAATTAGTTACTATATTTTAAAGTTGTATTTTCAAAAAATTTATAAATAGAGATACTGTCTGAGTCTTAATTTGACATATTATAAATTGAAAAATATGTTGTAACTGAAAATAAAAATCTCTCTTAACAAAAACCTTTCTCCAAATACTTCCTGTCTCTCATATTTTCTTTATACACTTCAAATCTTGTGTATAAGTGATCTTATATTGTATTAAACCTATCAAATTACTGATGGATTTATATTATATTGCATTGAGCAAATCGTTATTATTAACTTTGGGCTTTATATTGTATTGTGCTGAACAAATTGCTGTTATTGAATTATCGAGATTTATATCATATTGTGCTGAACAAATCGCTGTATTGCAATTATTGAAATTGGATTTATAAGTATTTTACTTTTTGTTATTTGAATTTTTAATTATTAATGAATATTCCTCACTTGTAAGAAGAACAAAGTGAAAGAGTCTTTGTTATTGTTATTACTAATTATATTATCTTAAGTTTTAGAAAGCTTTACGTTAGTATAGAATTCCTCTTTAAATCTCCTTTATTATTCCTTTATTCTCTCTTCCCTTTGGCCTTTACTCTCCCACAACTCTTCTATATTATTATTTCTTTTCAAGTAAATACAATTTTCATAGAAATTGGCATAGGTCTTAAATATCCTTCTTTTCTTTTTAATATTTTCTTTATTACTTTATACCCTTTCCCAATCCAGATTTTTGTTTGTAAACTAATTTAACAATTATGAACAAACTTGTAATAATATATAAGTTGAAAGTTATATTTTTTATCTAATTTAACTCAAGTTATAATATATTAATTCTCTCAATCTATAGAACAATATTATGTATATTATCTGAACTATATTCTTACTATAATTGTACATCTCTCAGCTCTCTCATATAACTTTCTGTATTTTATTATATATAACACTATGACACTATTCTTTATTCTTTGACATTATAAGCTTTATATATATTAGATATTAAATTTTTATCACTACATTGATTACTATATACTTCTAATTCTATACTACTAGTACTGTTCATATTATAAGCATAAATAATGAATCATATATCTATATTTTTAGCTATATTACTTCTATTATCTTCTATTTTAATATTATATAATTTCTTAACTAATATTGAATTATATTTACTAATTTCTAAATACAAATCTAAATATCTATTAAAGTTATTTATCTCATATAAATTCTTATTCTGATACTTTTTTATATATTATTTAGTATTACTAATAATATTCAAGATACTAGCATATTTATTAAATAATTTACTAATGTTGACCTTTCTTAATTTTATTATATATTTTAATAAAATTTATCATACAGATAGTATTATATTCAGCATTATATAGTTTATGAACTATATGATCACAATACTATTCAATATAATATATCATTCCATTTACTTCTATAGATATATTTGATAATTTCAAGTTACAGATATTTCTGATAACTAAACTAATAATTAATATTAGATTTATATATTATAAAATATCTATAAATCAGTAATTTTTTATAGATATAATCAAAATAATAATAATAAAACCAAGAATTAGTATAAGTTAACATTACTATCAAATTAATAGATTAAATTATTGGTATTTAATAGAATTTGTTACTTACCAATAGTAACTAATTACTGGTAAATATTGATTCTTATTGTTTACTAGTTTGCAAACTAGATTTCAGATAACAAAAACCATATCAAATAATAATTACTTATATAGTTAATTTCTACGTTAGAAATATCTATTAATTAACAGATATGATATTTATTTATAGCTCCTTAATATTGTTAATATAGTAACAAAGATCTAGTGTCTAATGTATATAAAATTTATAACGTCAAAGAATAAAAAATAGTATCATAATTCTATATATAATAGAATACAAGAAGTCATATGAGAGAGCCAAAAGATATGTGATTACAATAAGAATATAGCTCAGATAATACTCATAATATTATTCTATAAATTAAGAGAATTAGTATGTCATAACTTGAGTTAAGTTGAACAGTAAGTATAACTTTCAACTTATATATAATATATCAAAGTGTAGATTTATATATCTACGTAGTCTACAAGTGTATAGATCGAGGATAAATATATATTTACGTATAGTATCTGTTTAATCATTATATGACTGATCAGACTCTAATACATCAATAATATTTAGAGTTAGTAAATTACCAGTTGATGAATATTTGATGATGTAGCTGTTCATCCAAAACACCAAAATAACGAACTGACAATAATGACGAGGCAGATATTTATGAGATAGGCAATAAGTACCAGTTACATCTGGATTGAAATCTGAGTAAATGGATGTTATTCAATGAGCAAGCAGTCTATGTACTTTTTCTATCATTAACATTCATCAGATCATCAATAATATAATATTGCATAGAAAAAGTAAAGATCCTATCACCCCCAAATGTGGGTGATTGTACTTATGAAATAATTAGTAGATCAACTGATCATCCAGGTAGATTAGTTGAAATGTAGATTCTACCTGTCAATTTTCTGAGTTTTTCTGCCATGAAAATTATCAGATATGTAATGTGCTAGGTGTAAGTGACACAGTATTACTGTAGATATGTCTAGATGTGGTAAATACAATTCATCGTGAGAACCAGCTCTACGATTGATTCTCATAGCAATGTTAAGAGATCACAGACGGATGTCATATTTGTCAATTAATAAATATTTTGATGTGGAAATCAGCTATATAAGCAGTTGCTGTTTGATATGGTTTTTGATATATGAAATTTAGTCTGCAAACTAGTAAACAGTAGGAATTAATATTTACTGGTAATTAGCTACTACTGGTGAGTAACAAATCCTATTGAATACCAATAATTCAACCTATTGATTTGATAGTAACTGTTAACCTGTACTAATGCTTGGTTATCGTTGTTGCTATTTTGATTACGTCTATGAGAAATTGCTGGCCTTAGATATTCCATAATATATAAATCTAGTATCAAGTATCGGTTTAGTTATCAGAAATGTCTGTAACTCGTTATTGGAAGGAATTATCAGGTGTATCTATGGAAGTAGATGGAGTGACGTATCCTATTGAATGGTGGTATGATTTGATCTCCAGTGATCCGATTCGCATTGACTAGAAAAATCGAATGGTATTATTTTTGTTCGAATCGGATCATTGGAGGCCAAGATATCACGTTCTAAATTGGCTGCTGATTAATTTTTGTTAATGAAGCTGCTACTTTAAGACGCAATATTTCGACATCCAGTGATCCGATTTGAACCAAAATACTACTATTCGATTCGTCTAGTCGAGGCGAATCGAATAGTAGTATTTTGGTTCAAATCGGATCATTGGACATCAAGAATTAGATTATTGAATATTGAGATGTGTGTTATGAAATAACTGATTATATTTGTCACGTGAAAGTTCATGAGCATACAATATCCGATATAGAAGCTCTACCAACCTATAAAAAGTATCAATGATCAGCATTTGTAATGTTCTTTGTGCTCGGAAAAATTTGGTGCATTACACATGATCTACGGAAAGTTAAGGGGGGCGGATACTTTTGGCCACGACTGTATATATATTTTTTTAAAAACAAAAGCTATTCACGAATTCCTCGGCCTTCACGATCTATAAATCATATTACACAGTCAAGAACTCCATTAAACAATATTTCTAATCGATATTCTCTCCAAACCCTCAAGATATAATGAAATTCATTATTATTATCATTATTTCTGATATTTAAGGATATCGATATGTAATAATCATGAATCATGTGAATATAAATATTAAATGTGATAATACTATCGTTACGTATTATGGGAAATTTTTCACTGGTGTATACATAGTATCCATGGGATAAATGTATTTCTGTCGGACAAATTGATCAACTGACCAGATTTCACATTTGGTTTCTCACCAGATAGAATTGCTTGAAAACATTTTCAAGAGTCATTTATTTCACTGATAATTGATTTTAACAATGAAGCAGGTGGTTGAGCAGGTGTTTGATCTTGTCGATAGTGAGCTCCGTTTGCAAACCAATGTGGTGTTCCAGTTTGAGCACCAGCTGGTGTACGCCATGAAAGGAGAGTTTCTGGCGCAGGCTGTTTCTGTATGTTTACTCTCTCAATCAATCATTTTATGAAACTTGCTACCATTAAATCTCGTTATTATGTTGCCGTTATCAAATTCTATCTTTTCATGATTCCGTGAAAATTTACGTATATATTTTCTTTGTCATAGACTCTTTCATGTGGCGGTGCGTTAGTGGCACAAATTACCGAACAGCAAACAAAGCCGGTGTTGTTATTCCAAGCACCGAACAACGCCATAACGTTAGGTATCGGCGAGCTGAACAAGATCATAAAGAATTTAGCACGGAACGCCGGTGTAATGAATCAACAGTTGTTTGATAAATTCAAGGTGTTGTTACGAATGGAGGCTGGGTGTCAGGTCCAATTGCCTAATGGACAAGTGGTGAACATTTTTGGCCCAACCAAGGGTTTCAAGTGCCCGGAAACGTGGCAACAATCGATGATACGGCAGATCAACACGCTCGTCCGGTATATACGGAACGATTTGGGGTTCAAGGTAATAATAATGTTTATTATATAATCAGCTTGTTGTGCGTTCCTACTGGTAAATCAGTCTTCTTTGAAACTAGGCACCGCATATACTTGCAATCGTGTTGTCGCTATTATTGGTATCCTGGTCGGTCATCGATCTGTGCAACATTTACGAAGAGTGCAAGATCAAGGATGACCTGACGGAAGCCGACAAGCGAGAGTGCTTTGAGCTTCTCAACAGTGTAGAAGCAATTTTGATTAAAATCTGCGACGAGCTGAAGTTCAGATTTAATGTCCGTCTTAACGGTAAGTGGAGAAGATGATTTTCTTGGCGTTAGTTGTTTCGATAATGATAGCTTTTATTTAAACACTTTCGCAGAACTTTTGAAAGCCCTGGTCTTGGAAACTACAAAACTTATCAGTAAGATCGACAGAACGAACGAGGAAATCAAGGAGAGGATCAAAATATTGAAGGAACAAGAGTTCAACCGTACGATGGCACTAAATATATTTGCAGCGTAAATAAAAATACTCAGAATGCTTTGCTTGTTAATTAAATGATTTTTCATCTTAATTTTTTTGTGCACTTGGTGTAAAAATTTTCGACACAGGGTCTCCGGAATCATCGGCATGTTCACATACATGAACTGGGGCAGTTTGAGTACGTCAAACGTAAGCGACATTTTAACAAAGCTGTGTGTTGTTCCCAACTCATTCAATTTAACTTAATCCTGCAACCTTTTATTTGGCTAGCGGACAGTCGGAATAATCGGCGGTGGAGCCACTACTGGTGGTGCAATCGCCATGGCGATATCGGTGAATAGGCTGATGCAAGCACAAAGAAAGCAGGAAGAAGTGCTGAATAATATGGAGAACTTGAATGCGCAACTCTCAGACATCCAATTTTACGCATCGGGCTTAGAATACGAACCTTCTGATCATGTGGTTATCCTCAGACAATTTGAAGGGTATTTAACAAGCTTACAACATTTTCAGACGCAGTTTAGATGACGAAAATTAAATAATGTATTCTGCTTCACTGAATGTAATCTACTATATTTTCCTTTTGTTCAAAAAAATTCAAATATGTTACAACATTCTTAAAGAATAAAATTATTCGACACAAGCAGGTTGAATTTACGTTATTCTCGTGTCCACGATAAATTCATTCAAATTTATCCAGATAAAGTTTATTTCGATAAACGTTGGCGTTATGATTCTATTACCGTTACAGTTACCAATACATGTACTTAACGTTGCCCGTGATTTTCAATTTAACATTAATGTTAGGTTGATTTTGCCTCAAATATACTCTAATTTTTCCTGAATACGTATCGGTATGCTAAAATTCACAAACTTTCTGATGTTAGAAAGTATTCACGTAGTTAGGTCGTTTAATTTCTCCATGCTCTCACTTGTAATAGTGCAATGATGCTTTATAAATTGTTCCGAAACCTCCTTTTGCAATTTGGAAAGGAATCCATTTAAGATTTTGCGCATATTAGACTGTCGATATCATTAGACCGTTCAGAAATTCGTTTGTGATAACGGAACCGCTCATTTTTTGACAATTGGCACACATTTACCAAAGTACATGTACGTAGCGGTAGTGCATTTATTCCAAATTCCATCATTTGAGTTCATTGTGAATAACAATAATAACAGATAATCAAAAAATACACACTATAACGATAAAAAAATCCTAGTATTTTAATATCAATTTTTGTTATGAAATAAAAATTGTCAGTTCTTCAGTTTTGTGAATTATAATATTTTACCTGAGCATTGATTTTTCCGACACATTTTTCTATTGTTTGTTTTATGATCTTTGAAATTTAGTTTTCTCTGTTGCTATTCACCTTAACGAAAAAAATTACAATGTATTTTTTCTTTCAGTATCTTTTCATCATTCTCAATATATCGAACTCGTGAAACATTATATACATGTATGTTACCGAAATAGCATTAAATTCTTCAATTCTGTAATTTTAATCCCAATTACCACATGAAAATCTTTCCATAACAACCCTACACAATAATCCTTCCATAGCGATAGTTAGTCTCGAGTACAATAATCGAAAGATATTGGACGCTTGAACGTTTCAAAAGAAACCATCATCGTAAATCGTTAACTTTAGAATTAGCGTAGGATTAGCATAGCGATAGTAATCCAAATTAATTAACGTAGTAATCCAAAATTGTATATAGAAGCGTCTTCAAGTCGCTGAGAAGACATGCTTTGATAATGCTTTAATCGAATAAAATAACAAATTTCTTATAATAATATTATTATTTGTGAATACACTATTATTTTCTTTCGTTTCGTGATCAAACTTCAAATCTTACGAGAAATTGCAAGTAGTGGATGTTCCCCACTCTAAATAAGCCGTCAATTTCTTTTGAAATAGATTTTTTTACTTTGTACAGGCCGTATCAATAACCCTGTTGAATTATCTTTTAGTATGGAGTCTTTCTTGGACAGGCCGTATCAACAAATCCTGCCACATTTGTGAATATTGATTATTGTTAAAAAAAATAAATATTTTATTATAACGAATCGATCTTTGTTACAAGAGTGGTTTTATCCTATCTATTCTTTCAAACAATCACCCTCCATTATCTGTAGAGAAAAGGTCGATTTGTGAACGAATCATCTAAATTCATCAAACGTTTGTATTTTATAAAATGTATAAACTTTTCAACTATGAAGTAAATACAGAATTTAATCCGTGAATATGATAGAATAGTCCTTTTCTGAGCATGTTCACCGATTAAATTTTGTATTTGCTTCTTAGTTGAGAAATTTATACATTTTATAAAATACAAATGTTTGATGACTTTAGATGTTATGCACCATATAACAAGATTATTTAATTATAAGGTTATATGTTTTGAGAATTTATATAAAGAAATTTTAATTATACTTTCGAAGTTCAACCGGACTAATTTAATTACGCAGTTTTAAAAGTTCAGACTGGTTTGCTTCATGGATCTTAAGTAAAAATTTTTATTTATGAATATAAATCATACACAGATACATGTACATGCATATATAAAATTAATATGCATAATTTAAAGACTTTTGTAGTGATACTGAATATATGGTGCAAAAGTCTAAGCCACCCAATATACAATAATTTAAACTGTAAAGCATTTACATCCAAACACTTTAATCATAAAAAATACGTTATATTATAGTTCTTCTCAAAGGTTATTTAACAACGTAATTTTTTGTGATTACGTAAAGTGTTTGGATGCAAATCCTTTATGGTTTAAAGTATTGGATATATTGGATAGTTTTAAACTGCACCATAACACGTGAAATTTTAATAGTGATCTGTTTTTCTTCTAAATGCTTTCTTAAAAAAATTCGATAGAATAAAGGGTTCTAAAATGGATTTCCAATGCAATCAATTTCTTCTTGTAATTTTTTACCCACTTAGATATCTCTATTGGCCAATGTAACTGAAACTCTTATTAGAACTGAATTATTCAATGGAACTGCTGACATTAGATTCAAAAAATATTGATTATGCTCTGGCTAATTTAAGCTCGTAGATTTCAAGTTCCTTTTTTAAATATATAATAGAAATCAATTCATATGTTTATAATGTGTTCAAAATTAACTTTAAAGATTTTATCGCATCTAATTCAGAATGCACAAAGATCTCTCGAATTATATTATGCAAAAGTTTTATCATCATTGAATAATTAAATAATGTCATTTGATATTATTTGTTTAAAAAATAAACTTACGTAATATAGAATTATTTTGACTGAGAATTCCTATAAAACTCTGCTAGAACAGTATATAAGCTAGTATACATAATATTCTATTTATTGTAAATAACGTGAAATTTATTTAGTTACTAATAAATTATAAAGCTAAAATAATCATGCCCGCAATAATTGCATCATATCGATATCTGCATTTTACCGTACAGAAGATCATGTGTTTGATCACGTGTCATTATACGTACGTAGTTTGTAGGCTGGGGAGAATTTTGAGTGAATACCAAAATGCATTTGTGTCGTCTAATACATGTATTAAATTTGATCTTGATTATTGGTCCTAGATATTTCTAGCATAATTTTACAATTTAAATTAAACACATTGTTAATCGCTTAATATTCTTTTTTCGCGCGTTTTTTCGATATATTAAATAATTTATGATTTGGCAACAATATTGAATGTAATTAATTAAATCTTTTCTCATCATTGTTAATCTCAACTTCGTTTGATATTTGCTTAATCGCGCATAAAGTATCTTTGCTTTTTATAAATCATCCCATCTTTCTATAAACGTTTTGATACCACTGACTTCTCTCTCGAACCAATATTTATCTCGATTAGATAAAGATCGTGTCAATTGATAAAGTTGTACTTGACATTGAGGAAATCAATTTATGATAAATTTGATAGACTTGTGATGTTTGCGTCGTCCATTAGATGATATGAACTATATCCGTCGATTTACAGTTGTAGTATTTCTTAGGTGTAGTAGCTTCACTAAAATCATTGCATTTGTTGACATAACGAATGGTGTCGTCTGATAAACAAAATTGTGATCAATATCATTTCATTGCAATATGAGATGAATGAATTAAATATCACTTAATTCTTGTAACCAAACTTTCAAATTTGCCAAGACCATTATTGCATTAGAAGTGTAAATCACAAAGATTTTGAAAATGTTCTTGGCTGAATAGACACCAACCTTAATTTTTCTTGCAAATTACAATTATTAACATTCATTTTTGTTGTAATCTTCAAAGAAAAATTTTTATTTTATTATTTTCGTTATGATCTTCAAAGAATTTTTTGTTACCTTTCAGGGAAAACAGGTTGATATAAAATGTTACTGTTGATCCTTATTGTCATTGCAAAAAACACAAAAGTCTCACGAAGATCCCTCAACGCCATCTCCTCCAGGCTCTTGCGTAGCGTGAAGGTGGGTTGCGCAGAGCCCATGAACCAGCAGTAGGATGCGTTCCGTCTATGGTTTTCATATTGCGAATTTGATATTTATATCAAAAATAGGAATACTCAGATTTCACTTGTTAAAAATTGTGGGTTTGGCTAAAAATCTATCACTTTGACGAGATCATGACGAGCAAAAATTTTAAGTAGAGATCGACTTGCACGTGAATAATTTTATCATTTACATGTACTTCTAACGCCAATGTAAATGCATCCAATATCGATACAATTACTACTGTGATGAATATTCAAAGAAAAAAAGTTACTGCAAAGCATTGTTTTTATATCACAAACAAATTTATAAAGCTGAATAGACTAGCAAACGTAAAGAGATCGACAGTCTAAGGATTAATTTTCCCATTTGAAAGATTTACCATTGGTAAATACTCGTGAAGGGAGGTGGAACAATTTATAAAGCATTATTTCACAAATACGAGTGGGATCATGAATCGAATGATTCGAGTAAATTACGTCGGAGTTTATAAACGAAAAAGTTGTTTGAAAAATTTCTAAAGATGCTTTTTTATTTCTAATCCAAAGATAGATTCTGCTCTAAAATGTTTCAATTATAGAATAACTAAGTGCACTGCTACAAATGAATATTCGATAACGATAAATGAAATATGCAAGTATATTACGTAATTCCAGCTACAAAATTTAATTGGGTTCATTAGTTAATAGTTTACGTAAAATCGTGACTTTCACATTGGAATATACTGTTAAATTGTGCTTATGTTGTCTACAGATATAGAAAAATCTGATCGAGAAATTTCCGTATATTCGTCCAGAGGTATTAAGTGGAAAGCCATAATTAAAGCTGCAAATATTTATAGTTTTGGGATGATTGTGTAGGAGGTTGTCACAGGTGAACGACCATTTGGTGAATGTAGTGATAATATACACCTTCAGATGGTGCAAATTTATTATCGAAAAAGGTTGGGATCCTATTCAGAAAACAGACCAACTGCTGACGAAATTTACGACTTTATCGAATTTATCTACTCTATCTACTAGTAACAGTTTCATTCAG